CAACTTACATGGCTGGTCGTTCCAGCGGCGTGCTCTGGTAGAGGAGCAGGGATGTATTCCAGGCTGTGTGAGGGCAGCATGGGGAACTCTTGGACATCTGGAGAGCTTTGGCCAGCTCTGGTCTCGCTGGTACAGGACGTGCTTGGAGCCCGGGTGAGCCCTGCACTGGCAGATGGCTGAGGGGCGGGCTGGGTCAGCTGCTGGGAGAGAAGTGGGGGGGTTGGTGCTGCCCACAGTTGCTTTTGGGGAGGCAGTACAGGAGATGGAGTCAGACTCTTCTGAGGGATGCACAGGGACAGGATGAGCCACAACAGACACTGTCCCACACAGTGTCAGGGGGAACGTTCCCATTATGAGGGCAGTCAAACACCGGCCATGGGCATCTCAGACCAGCACTTGCAGGCAACACCTGGTGGGCCCCCTCCAGGCTCAGCCCATCTCAGGCTTCCTAAGGAAAAGGCAAACAACATGAAAACCCTGGCTACCAGCACACCAGAAACCAGGTTTTGAAGCAGGTTGCAGTGGTGCAGGGGACATCCTCCCCACCATCTCCTCCCAAGATAACAACAGCAGCACAGCCACAATCTCACAACCTCAGCCAGAAGCTCAGGGAATTTCCTTTCCTCAGGAACAGCAGCTCCTGAATCAGCCCCTGGCTTCACTCAAAATGCTGGCAGAAAGGAGGTCTGCAGGGCTGCTCCTGTGAAGATCTGCTTGCCCTGCAGGGACAGGAAAGGGAGACCAATATGCCCCCACTCCCTCACCCCACATCCTGGGCACCAGGGCTCAAGGTGGTAAGGAAACAGAAAGAAATACCGGTTTTCAAGTTAAGTATTTTTATTATCAAAATTATTACATCTCTTGTGAAAGTTCAAATGTTACAGCATGGTGTAAAAACTCCACTAGAGTAAGAAGCTACAGCCCCCACCTTTCCTAGAGCTTTCCAGGGTCCCTCCCTCCTGCCCCCCTGCTGCGCCCAAAGGTGCTGGAGCCTCTGGGCAGGGCCCCCCGGCCCCCTCTCGCCGCCTGGCAGGGCAGAGCCTGCCTGCCCCGTGCTGCTCAGAGCACGAAAGGGGAGGCTGCACCCCCAGGGCTAAGCCAAGTGAAGTTTACACCTATTTTATACAGTATACAGACACCCAACTGCGGGGTGACAAGTTCCATCCCAACACGCTCACAGCCAGACAGTGTGAGAAAGTTACTCTTTGTTTCAATATTTTAAAAGTCTCCCCTAGGCTGAACAAACACCTGATTTCAATTGTGAATTAGAGAAACCTGTAACAGTCCTAAAAAAAGAGGAAGAAGACTGTGCATCTGAAAGGACAGGGGAGACAGACTCACAGCATTATGTTATCCAAGAGAAAGGAGAAGTTCCACTGCAGCACCAGGGATGACACCTGTCATATATTAGCTAACCTACTATGGTTATAACTGAATATAAAATTAGATAAATAAAAACACGCCCGATATTACAGTAAACAAGTGAGAAAGAAGCTGGCAATCGTATGGAATTGAACAGACAGCGCACTGTGTCTGGGCTGGCTCTCCTGCCACGCTCGGCGGGTGACGGCGGCTGGGAAGGACCCCACATGGCACTGCCCCAAGAGCCTCTGGCTCGGCACAGACCGGGGTCTGCACCCAACGCCCCAGCACCGCCCCTCGGCAGCCCCCGCTCCTCCGCCTGCAGCCCCCCGTGCACTGCAGCATCACTTGCCTGATCAGGCCCTCGGTCACCCCCCACGTGTCTCCACACCGGCAGCCAGAGACCCCTGGCATGGCGGTGTGTGACAGCACAGCCTCGGCCGTGCTCCTGTTCACAGACTCCTTAAGCGACCTTAGAACACTCGTTCACGATAGCCCTGCAAGGAAGCAGCACATGACAGCGCACCCCAGACCCTCTGCAGCGACAGGCACACTTTCCAACCCCCTCCCTCCTGTGCTAGTTCACATTTGCGGAGACTCTGTTGTCCTGGAAAAAGCTCTGACAGTGGCAGTGGTGACCCAGGCCCAAAGGCAGCCGTGTGCGCTCATCTGCTTGTGACTGGAATGATCGTAACGGATTAAAGCCCTCCCCAGAACGCACTGAGAACCTGACCTATAAAGAGATTGGAGTTAACTTCCCCCAACGTTTCCTTTAAACTGCTTTCAAATTCAGAACGGTGTCCGTGCTGCATGAGTGACTATGGCCATGGGCACGGACCAGAGACAGAGGCTGTGCCACAGTCATTGCACTTGAACCATTTGCTTTTTTTTTTTTCCTTTTTTTTGTTTTTGTTTTTGCAATGTACCCACGCATCAGGGAACTGCTTTGCTACAGTCTCTGCCTCAGAGAAATCTGCGTTCTCCTACCAGGCCAGAGGCCAATACTGCTCACAAATCTCACCCGTGCATTTCAGACCTCAGCCTCTGACCCCTGGCACCCCAGCATCAGGTGCAAGCTCCCAACACCGGCCCAGGAGCCACTTCCAGAGGTGACTGGAAGGAGCTATGGGCAGTTTTGTCCTCCTGGAGTCCAGGCAGCCCTAGGAAAGTCCTGTTTGAGTCTTTACTCCAGAACCTTGAAGCTGCTGCAGTCTGTACTGGTGGACACTGCCTCCCCCGCGGTGTGGATAGTGTTGTGCACTGGAGATCACTGCGCCCCGGGAGCCCTGGTAGAGCACAGACTGCCCGGAGTTGGGCAGACTGATAGTCCGCAAGTCTGACTGTAGTGAGCGAGCACTTTGGGGAGCGGAGGAGGAGCCCGACACACCCGTGCAGGGCTGGGAGCCCGACTCGGAGGAGAGAGAGTCCACAGCTGTCTGCTGTGCCGGGCTGGCAGCCGCGGGGCAGCTCTTCCTCAGGAGGCTGCTGCTGACGCTGCCAGAGTGCTGCTGGCTGCTGAAATACCCCGAGGTCCCTGCAAACAGGGCAGAGCAGTCTGTGGAGA